CATCTTTTACTGTCGAATATTTCACAATCGACGCAACACTTTATTTTTCGCTAGAATATACCATTAACTCGTAAACTGCGGCATTTCTTCATTCGAAATGCACCCATAGAAGTGCAATAAAGAAAACTCACATACTTTGGAAGTTAATAGGTTAAAGCATCTCAAAGTTATATACCTGAGGTTCATATTCCTCCAGCGGTGAGATCATAAGAGAAAGTCATCGAAATAGATGAAGCATGCCTAGCGTCTATCAAATTAATTAAACACTGCTGCATGATATAATTCGTATATTTTATTATGTAAATATCATTTTTGATTCATTTAAAATAATTTGCATTAAGGATACTGGAAAAAAAGCCAAAATAAGACGTTTGCTGGAATCGCTAGGCAATTCCTAGGATAGCTTCTAGGAAAGTTGGTTCAGTATGTAGTTCTCGAAATTATTTTCTGAACCGAATCTTATACAAGTTTATCATTCTTCCTTCTGTTAAATATTCTTATCACATCTTTAGTTTGTTGCCTCTGCGGTATATCTCGAAAATTTTGACAAGATTCAAATAATAACCTGCAGTGGTATCTGTCTTGGCATGGCTTCAATTACTTTCTAACTGACACTACCATAGCTTCTCTGTGCTGTTCTAATAAAAGATTCCATGATAATTGTTCTGATAAGCTCTCAAATTTTAAACCACAACTTCACGAATTAAAGCAGAGTAATAGATTAGCACTTAGCTTTCATAATTTTAGTGTTGAAATGGCTAAAGGTAACCATAAATAATATTCTTATATTTTCTTCTAAACGTTTCTTTACTTTCTTCCACTCTCAGTGATTCATAGTTGTTTTATAGCGATACTCGGTTGAAAAGAGATTAAAATAAATCCTTGAAAAGGTTTAAAATTTAAGTAATTTTTCCCTAAAAGTTTACAATAATTTACGTATATACTTTGAAAAATCTCCACCCTTTGTAATGTTTAATTAAAGAAATAAATGATTAATTTTAGAGAATTATTATGTTTCTAGTATATAAAAATGTAATTTTAGAGAGTTATTACATTTCCATTATATAAAAGAGTCATTTTAGAGAATTATTGTGTTTCTGTTATATAAAAGTGTATGTAATTTTAGAGAATTATTATGTTTCTGTTATATAAAAGAATAATTTTAGAGAATTATTATGTTTCTGTTATAGAATATTAATGTTTGTTAGTAGAGGAAAAACGGTCAGATATTATTTAAAATTTTAATTTTCACAAATTACTTGCGTATCATGCGACTTTTGAAGGCCTAATCTTAATTCGCAACATTAAATGGCTATATAATTTAGTCAACGGCGTAGACAGGGCCATTAGTATGTAGACTATTTTATATATCATGTACATCCGACTACATTAAAATTAGCTTAGAAATTAAGTCTTCAAAATCGCATGATACGCGAGTATATACGGTATATATAACAAACCAATCTATAAAAATATTTTGGGACGTTACTTAAATCCTGTCTAGATTATAAAAATATATAGCATATACGGTGGCCAAGAAATGGGGGATTAGTTTAATACTAAATAACGATACAAAATTGATCCGCACTTTTTCTCATCCTTTCACTTGAAATATATATATATATATATATATATATATGATTCCAACATCTACATATCTCAAAATTAAAATTAGATATTTGTTAAAATTATGAAGATTAAGCTATGTTGATGTTTATGTTGTTACTTGTTTTCCAAGTCTTTTTTCATTGCTCTTTGGATTGTCATTGCTGAAACTCCTCTCTCTCGTGCCAAATGTATTTTTGAGCGAGTTGGATCTTTTCAAATGGATATTTTATATCTAAGTTGAAATAATGTGACATTCTGATCCAGTTTTCCTCTCTACTGTTCCCTTTTTTAAAATTAATTCACCGTTTTGTTGATGGTTCTTGAATGGACTTTGAAGATAGAAGAAGTATGTATGTTAGTAACAATACTGAAGGCCTGAATGATCTTTTTCGACTCCCCATTGGTCAGTTGGGAAGACATAATGCGGGGGTGACACAAAATGTTTGAATATGTTCTATTTCTAACTGAATACCTCGGCGATTATTACAATAAATGCTGTTAAGTTGGGCAAACGTTATATCTCAAAACCTGGAAAAAAACTTTGTCGTTCCAAGCTCGCCTTAAGTATTTCTCGCTTTTAATTTTCACGCAAACGCTAAATAGTGTCACAATCCTCCCCTAACCTATTTTGTCATCTGAGCACATATCCAACATTTTACACTTTTTCTCTTTAACTGAGCCACACTCTCTCTTATTCATGGGGGGAACTGCTCTCTACCTAAGTGGCTCTCCTGACCACATGTCCAACGTTTTACCTTCCTTCTTTTAAATGGACCACCCTCCCTCTTAATTCCGGGGTGGCCCGCTGGCTTTTCCGTGGTTCTGTCTTTTGGGCTCAGCCTTCTTTAACAATATCGGTGGGGCACCTTTTCTTAATCCGCACCACTTGGCTAGGTGTCCTTTCTTCCCACACCTAGTACATTTATCCTGCTCAAAGTCTGGGGGCAAACCCCACTTCGTTGGACAGTCCACTGCTCTGTGGTTCTCATGTCCACATGTCCAGCAGACCAGCCCGTATCGACCATACCTTGTCGACCAAGCCTTTCTTTTGTGATCTCCCTCCCACATCTCAGGCTCCTCCACCTCTAGCGTGACCTTTCGATTCAACGCGGGCGCTCTCCCTCCTTCCCCCTTTCTTCCTGATTCGGATGGAAATCGGGTTAGATTCGGTATCAGCTTTGTCGTACCCAGCTCGCCTTAAGTATTTCTCTTTTTTAATTTTCACGCAAACGCTAAATAGTGTCACACACACACACACACACACACACACACACACACACACACACACACACACACATATATATATATATATATATATATATATATATGATACAATATGGTAATTCGTATAGAATTCCAAGGATGATATAGATCCAGTGAGAAAAAATAGGGAAAAATCATTATTAATTAAAGAATATCAAACACTTATTACCTATAGGATTTTAAGTGTTGATTGATATACTTTTTATATATATATATATATATATATATATATATATATATATATATATATATATATATATATAAACAGAGAGAATGAGAGAGAGAGAGAGAGAGAGAGAGAGGAGACAATAAGAGATGAAATTAAAAGTTGTTAATATCACTGCTTCTATGAAATGCATACGCATATAACACATTTATAAATGTGTTTAAAATGCAGAGAATGATAAATGATGTTCTGTTTAGATATAACCACAACCTTCTATAACAGATTAATTTGTTATTCATCAATATAAAATAACTATTTCAGAGTTACCAAATTTTAACGTAAGCAATACATATTCAAATATATAGCCACAAACAGAAACGTACTGAAGCTATACGGAATAAATGAGAACAGAAATATAAAACATAAAATTGTCGATTATAAATCAGTAAATGACGAAACATTAAATTACCAAGTAATGAACCACAGTACTGTTTCTTTTTAGCTATTTTTTAAATCGATAATGTTCTTAGGAAAAGTTTTTAGACGGAAAGTTTAATGAAAATGAAACGCTGCTTGAAGCCAACTTAACAAAAGATTTATTGAAGAAGGATGATTCGAATACTTACTTATAGTCCTGATGACAACAACCTATGTTTTAATATTTCTTTGTCACCACAGGGAATTCATTTAGGGATTTAAAGTAATATTGGCAAATGCCGTAGGATACTACTTACTTTCTATCTATCTATCTATCTTTCTATCTATCTATCTATCTATCTATCTATCTATCTATCACACACACACACACACATATATATATATATATATATATATATATATAAATCTATCACACATATGTATATATATCAACGTCTGTTTCAAAGATATATATATATATATATACATATATAAACGTAAGATTGCATTATATATATATATATATATATATATATATATATATATATATATATATATATATATATATATATTATGCATCCTTATGTCTTTAAGATCGTACCATTTTTCTTCATGCATAAATAAATATTTAACGATAATATTTAAATCTATCTCCGGTTCAAGAGAACTAATTCTCAAACATTTTAAACGCTTTATTTTAAGGTTCTGACAGTGTAAGAATGTAACAATGCACTATATGTCCCTCTATCCCATTTTTTATCAAGCACTATATTTAATAAAATCGACAATAACCGGTATTTAAATGCAATTTCTCTTCGATAAATGAAAATTTCTATTACATATTTTATTTATATATATATATATATATATATATATATATATATATATATATATCGCTTTGTGCGTGTAATGTGTGTAAGTGTTTCTGTTATTTGAAAATTCAACATTTAAGGTTGAAGAGTGCATATACCGGGGGAAGGAATTACCTTGAGGATACAGCTTCTTCTTCTTCTTCTTCTTCTTCGGATCCATTGTTTTCTTCTTATAAATTTTATCGGTTAATTCCAACACCACATTTAATTGATTCCTTACCGTCAAAATGCAATATGAATAAAGAATATACGAAACAATTCTTTTACTATATGTTGCGTCCACTGAGATACTTTGAAATGTTGAATATATTCATACAAACAGAAAAATAAATTTATGTTTCTTTTTTTAACGTGTTTACTTTCATATATTTTAAAGAAAATTTTTCCGTTTTGTTTGTCTTCTTTGCATATCTTCTTTCAATTTCCTCTTCTTTGTTGTTCCTTCCTCTTCATTTTTTATTAGTTTTAGTCTTGCTTTCAGCAATCATTTCCGTATTATTTTTCAATTTTTAGATATTGTCATGTAACATATTTTATATTTATTTTTTTTGTTTAGTTTTTAAGATTTTTATTTCTTTGAGTTCATTTTTTTTTTCTTGTTTCATAGAAATCTTCTTCTTCTAAGATCACCTGTTCAGTTCCTCTTATTTATTTTCTTCTTCTTCTTCTTCGTAATGTCTTCTTCTTCTTCTTCTTCTTCTTCTTCGTTCTCTTTCAGTTCTCTTTTTATATCTTTTATATATATATATATATATATATATATATATATATTTATATATATTTTAGGCATTTTCTTTTTCTTCTTCTTCTTCTTCTTCTTCTTCTTCTTCGTCGTCTTTTTTTTCAGTTCCTCTTCTCAATTTCTTCTTCTTTTCGTCATATTACCTTGAAGTTCCTCTCCTTTATTTCTTCTTATTCTTTTTTTTTAGGATTTCTTCTTATATATATATATATATTATATATATATATATATATATATATATATTTATATATTTCTTCTTCTTCTTCTTATTCGTCGTCGATCGTCGTAATTTATTTTCACAAAGGAATTTTTTTTTTCTTCTGGATCTTCTTCTTCTTCTTTTCTTCTTCGTCGAAAAATGAATTTAAGTTCCTCTCCTTTATTTCTTCTTCTTCTTTTTTTTTTTCTTCTTCTTCTTCTTCTTCTTCGTCTTACCTTTCAGTTCCTCTTTTTATTTCTTCTTCTTTTAGAGAGAAATGGTCGTTCGTCGTTTAACTTTTCAGTTCTTTTTTCTTACAATTCTTATTCTTCTTCTTCTTAGAATCAGACTTTGAGTTATTTAATCGGTTTTTTCTTCTTCTTCTTCTTTTTTTCTTCTTCTTCTTCTTCTGGTAAAAAGTAAAAAACCTTTCAGTTAAAAAGAAATTTCTTATTCTTCTTCTTTTTTGAAAGAAGGTTCCTCTTTTTATTTCTTCTTCTTCTTCTTCTTCTTCTTCTTCTTCTTCGTCAATTTCGTAAAAAACAGATTTTAACGTTTGAGTTAATTTTCTTTGTTTTCTTCTTCTTCAAAGAAATTACCTTTGTTCCTCTTTTTTTATTTAAATATTCTTCTTCTCCACAAATAAATTAAGGATTTAAGTTCCTCTTATTTATTAATCTTCTTTTTTCTTAATCTTAATATATTAATCGTCTTTCTGTTTCTTCTTCTTTTCTTTATTTTTGAGTCTTCTTATTGAATTTAATTTGTCGTCTTTTTTAGATGGTTAATAGTTCTTAATTAAAGTTTAGATTTCAAAGGAAGATGGAGTAAGATTTGATTTCTTCTTTAAAAATTCTTCTTTTTTTCTTACACACACCTTTCAGTTATTTCTTTTTATTTCTTCTTCTTACACATTTATTCTTCTTCTTCTTCTTCGTATACCTTTCAGTTCCTCATATTTTCGATATTCTTCGGTATATTCTCATTCTTCTTTATATTCAATTTCTTCATATATATATATATAGTTTTTTTATTTTTTATATATATATATATATTATATATATATATTTTTTATATTTTTCTTCATTTTTTTACATATTTGATCTTTTTCTAAATTTTACAGTTAACGTTAGATTTGAATTCTCCTTTTCTTTTTTCATTTATATTTTAAATTTTATTATTTTCAGTATCATGAAAAAATAATTAAGGAGTTCATTTTTTTAATGTTAAGTCAAAGATGGGTTTTTTTTAATTTAACTCAAAGTGAGATTATATCCGGAGGCTGTAAAATTTCTAAACTTTCGTATCTAATAAAACAATTTCAAAAAAAGGAAGATTTCCATGTAATAAAACATTTTTTCATCCTTCCATTATAATTTATATCTAATAAACATCTCAGAATATAGAATATTTATAAAACGTATATCCTAACAACGTGACATATATAAAAGATGTAAATACATATAGGAATATCAAATATAAATATATATATATATATATATATATATATATATATTTCAATATATATTTTTTTTTAGTCTTCATTATAGATAGCAACGATATTTCTAATTTTTTTGAACAGAATATTCTTTCTTTAACTTTTCCTTTTTTTTCTTCTTTTTTGTTTTCTTTTTTCTCTTTCCTTTTTTTACAATGTTATTCATCCATCCATCCATCCTTTCTTTCTTTCTTTTAACTTTCTTTTATAAAATTTGAGACATTGCTCGCATAAATCCAACTGGGATTCCATGAATCCAATTTTACAGTTTTAGGTTGACATGGAAAAATCATTCTGTGATTTAAAAAAAATTTAATTCAAAATATATTTCAGTTTCCAGGCTAATCATAAATTTGATAAACCATAAACAAAATAAAACTAATTCTATTTTTTTAATCGATTTTTTTCTTTTTTTCTTTCTTTCTTTCTTTCTTTGTTGGTACTTGGTCCAAAACCTATTTTTCTTTTTCGTTTCCTTTTTCAACGCATATTTCTTTCTAGTTTTTTCTTTCTTTGGTTTGGGAGAGAGTTAAAGAGAATTTTCTTTCTTTCTAAATATTTTACTCTCTTTTCTTTTTTCTCTTTTCTTTAAATTCCTTTTTGACTTTTTATTTTTTTATTCCTTCCTTTCTCGTTTTTCTTTCCAAAAGACCGTTTTGTTTTTTACTTTCACGTTTCCTACATATTCTTCTTTTCTTTTCTTTCTCTTTCCTTTTGAGAAATTTACCAAAATTCTTTTATTTTCTGTCTTTCTTTATATATATATTTATATATTTATTTCTTTATTTACAAGGGTTTATAAGGTTTCTTTTTATTCTCTGGTTTTAATAATATTACATTGGAATACACATAACCACGATTTGTTTCTTTTGTTTGTTACAAATTTTCTTTCTTTACAAAAGTATCTCTTTTATTTTTATCTTATATATATCTTTATATATTTTTCCAAAATATATTCATTATATATATCCTTATTTATATATATTTTATTTCCAAAGATCTTATTCTATATTGTCATTTCGGATATATATATATATATTCGGATATTATCCTACAAACGTTTTCTTCATATATATTTTCTTTATATATCCTTTTCTGTCGAATTTTTAGTCCTTCTTTCTTTATTTCTTTATAAATAAACAAGGGTTTTATATCTTTTTCTTTTTATCTCTTTTTTTTTTTTTTCCTACAGTTTATTCTTCTTTCTTTCTTTCTTCCTTCCTTCCTTTCTTTCTTTCCTTTTCTTTCAAAACTTATTCTCTTTTTTCGTTATATTTTATTATATATATTAGTCGTCTTATATATATATATATCTTTTATTTATATATATATTATATTTTCTTTATATTGTTGTTCTTTCTTTCTTTTTAATTTTCCTCTTCCCTACCGACCATATAAATTGGTTGGTTTTTTTCTTTTCGGAATCAAGAGATTCTCTTTTTCTTAATTTCGAACTCTCTGCATTTTCCAAATAGGGATTTTCCTTCCTTCATATTTCCTCTTTTTTCATCTGTTTTTTTAAATTTATGATTTTAGAAATCATTTTGATTCTTTCTTTCTTTCTTTCTTTCTTTTTTTCTTTCTTTCTGTTGGCCGGAGATACCCATTTTAAACCGGCCTTGTACCGACCATTATAAATATCGTGGTTGGATAGATAATTACTGGAATCAAGAGATTCAATCCAGAGACTCTGCCCGACTGCAACTCAGTCAACACATTCTCCAGGAACAGTCTTCCCAGGAATATACAAAAGACTATATGTAAATATTGTGTACCTTTTTCTTGTTTCAATACATTTTGTTCTAAGTACATTTTGTGTATTATTATTATTCCATGCATTATTCAAGTTCAACAATGGCGACGAGGTGTAAAGAACTTTACGTTTCGGAAAAAAAAAGAATTGATAATTGATAGCCTTTAATAATTGGGACAAGTCGTTGAAGAACCCAGGCTGAAAAAAAAAATCATTAATTAAAAGTCCAACATCTAATGGAACGGAAAAGGATTCTGAATTTTGGACATTTAAAACTCGTTAAAAGGACAACTAAGCATAAAGGAACGTTCACTCAGAAAAATTTGAAAGGTGGCGTAAACGAATAACGGTGATTAAAAAAAAAAAAAAAAAAAAAAACGGGCCGACTAAAAAAACATGCATGGATTTAAAAGGAGCACAAATACCACGTGTCGACTTTGAAAGGTAACGAACTTTAAAAAAAAAAAATTTGTTTATTTTTTTTTTTGTTTGGTTTGCTCAACAATATTTTATAAAGCAAGACATAAAATAAAAAAAAGTCGTAAGTTGTTTCAATTTTTTTTTGTCTGATTATATTATATTCGTGGATAAACAAATTAAAAAGTATATTCTTTGTTGCATGAACACTATCAGCTAAAAATGGATGAATTATCCAAAGTCATATCTGAATTGTTTCAAATCCCAGCAGTTGAGTCAAGCAAATTATTCAAATCCCAGCAGTTGAGTCTGCAACAACAAAGGGAACAGGTTGCCTTATTAATAGAGAACAACAATTAGAACAGCAGAAGGAAAGAAGGCAAGAGGAGTTGAAAAGTCAGCAACGTCTGGGAAAACAGGAAGAAATGTAGATCAAGGTTTTAGAAATTCAAAAGTTAACATTGGAGAAATTAAACAACAATCAGGCAAATGAAGGAAATTCTTCATATTCTAATAACATCATATTTAATTCGTTGGAAATTTTCAACTATGTGCCAGACGAAGGAAAAACGTTTGAAGCGTACTTTAAACGATATGAAGATATTTTCCACACAGACTGTGAAAACTGGTCGAATTCAAGAAAAGTCAGTCTATTACTAAGAAAGCTAGGTACAGCAGAACATAGCAAATTTGTAGATTTTATTCTACCGAGAAGAACAAATGAATTGGAATTCTCAGAAACAGTGAAATTGCTAAAGGAGTTGTTTGGAGCAAATATGTCGCTTTGGCATAAGCGATGGTTATGCATGAATGTCGCTAAATCCGACGATCAGGATTACTTAACTTATGCATCTATAGTGAATAAACATTGTGACAATTTCAGATTGGCAGAGATTACGGTTGAAGAATTCAAGTGTTTAATTTTTTGCTCAAGGTCTGGTATCCAGTAAAAGTGCCGAAATAAGACGTAGAGTTTTGTCTAAACTCGAATCTGAACAAAACCTTACCCTGCAAAAGTTAGCATTAGCAGAGGAGTGTCAGCGGGCCGTAAGTTTAAAGAAAGAGTCTCAAAAAATGAAGAAGCTGGTATTGCTTATATTAAAAAACAGTCAAAACCAATCACCCATGGAGTAAAAAGAAAAATTTTAAAAATAGACAAAAAAATTAAATGAAAAGAACGAGGAGGAAAAAAGGTTCCACCATTTAATTGTAGACGTTGCAACGAAAGACATTGGGAGGTAAATTGCCCATATAGAAATAAAAAATGTTTCGTGTTACAAGAATGGACACAAAGGGTCGTGTTGTGTGATAAAACGAAAAAAAGTCAATAGCCGAATTAGTCAAACAAATTCAAATATAAAATCAGATAGAGATTTGAGGAAATATGTGACGACTGAAATATTTAAAAGAATATCAAATTTCAACTCGATTCGGGTTCAGATTTAACAATAATGAACTATAAAACATGGAAAATTTTAAAAAGGCCTACAATAATGAAGTCAACGAAATGCGCTCGAACGGTAACTGGAAAGGAAATTAAATTCGAAGGCGAGGTGGTACTTCCCATGAAATTGAACAGGATAGTTAAAAAAAAAAGTTTTCATTCTGAAAAATGGAGAAAACTTGATGGGTACAGATTTTATTGAAACATTCGAATTGTGGGATAAACCGTTAAACTCTTTCTGCAGAAAAGTAGAAAGTAATACGCAAACAAGACAGGACATTAAAGATGAATTAAAAAAAAAGTTTCCGGAAACTTTCACACCTGGTCTTGGAAGATGTAACAAGTTTGAAGCCAAATTTGAATTAAAGGAAAATACTATGCCAATTTTAAAAAAAGAAACGTAATGTGCCTTTCGCAAGTGCAGAGAAAATTAACGAAGAACTTGATAGGTTGGAAAAATGGGAATTATTTCGAAAGTAGAATCTAATTCATGGGCTGCGCCGATTGTGTGCATAAAAAGAAATCAAACCAAGTCAGAGTCTGCGTTGATTTTTTCGACAGGGTTGAACTCGGTAATTAAGGACTACCATTACCCGTTACCGAGTCCGGAGGGGATTTTAACAAGCTAAATGGTGGAGTTATATTTTCAAAAATCGACTTATCAGATGCCTATCTCCAAATTCCCGTCGAAGAGGAATGTTCGAAGTTACTAGGGATAAACACGCATAGAGGGTTATTCAAGTACAACAGGCTTCCATTTGGTATTAAAGTGGCACCAGCCATTTTTCAACAAGCTATGGACGTCATGTTGAATGATTTAGACTTTGCGTGCGCTTACTTAGACGACATCATAGTAAGGAGCGAATCGGTCGACGAACATCGAGAGCATCTCAATCAAGTATTTAAAAAATTCAGGACTTTGGTTTTAAAGTCAAAGAGTCAAAGTGCGAATTTGGTTTGAAGGAAATTAAGTATTTAGGGCACATAATCAACAAAAATGGCAGATTTCCAGATCCGGAAAGGTCCATTGCGATTAGAGACATTCCGACGCCCACTAATGTGGCGATGCTACAAGTTTTTCTGGGGCTTGCAAATTATTATCAAGCGTTCATTAAAGGAATGTATAATTTAAGAGCTCCGTTGAATGAACTGCTAAAAAAAGACAAGGCATGGGAATGGACGGTAGAATGTCAGAAAGCTTTTGATGAAATAAAAGAAAGGCTTACGTCCGACCTCTTTTTAACCCATTACAATCCAAAACTGGATATTGTAGTGGCAAGTGACGCCAGTTCATACGGGATAGGAGCGTGTATTCAACACATAATGCCAGATGGTTCTAGAAAACCAATTGCACATGCTTCGAGAACTTTACTCCCAGGAGAAAGAAGTTACTCACAAATCGAAAAAGAGGCATTGAGTATCATTTTTGCCATAACAAAATTCAACAGATACATCCACGGCAGACATTTTATGCTTGAAACGGATCATAAACTGTTGATCACTATTTTTGGTTCAAAGAAAGTGTTACCCGTTTATACGGCAAATCGTCTGTTGAGATGGGGAACCATTCTTCTCAATTATGATTTTCACATTAAGCACCTATCATCCAAAAATATAATTCATGCGGATAGTTTATCAAGACACATACCGAGTCAAGAAGAAAGATTCGAAGAATCAATTATTGCAACTATCAGAGCAGATTATGAGGTGAAAAGCATGGTAAACAACATTGTAAGAGAGATACCGGTTACACTAAAGGAAATTAAAAAGAAGCTGAAAGCGATGATTTCATTTTAGAAATAAAAAGCAAAATGGTAGCAAATGACCAAAAAGTGCAGGAGATTTATTCAATAGGTGAAGGAGTTTTATTATATGGTGAGAGAGTAGTAGTACCAAAAAAGTTGCAGAAAAGAATACTACGGGACTTTCACATGGGTCACCTGGGGTTAATAGAACAAAAAGCTTAATGCGAAGCTTTGTATATTGGAAAGGAATGGATGTGCATATCGCAAACATGGTTCATCGATGTAAAGTGTTTGCGTTAGCAGCTAAGGCACCACCTATAGTACACAAAACCATGGCCCAAGACGTTATATCAAATTAACCGCATAACGACGCCGCCTGTATCATCCGGAGGTCCAATGGACTCGCAGAAAGATTTGTCGATACTTTAAAGCGCGCTCTGAAGAAAGCCTCAGAAGTTCCAACGGAAAAGGCGCTTCAGCAATTTTACAAGTATACAGAATCACGCCAAACCAGAGAACACACTCAAACATGGCACCAGCTGAACTAATGTTCCTAGGAAAGTTACAGGAAAAGCGTTTGACAAACTTTTGCCAGGAAAAAAAATAGAGAAAAGAATACTATGTATACAGCGAGAAAAAGATACACCTCCGGAGAGAAGGTGTTTTTCAAGTTGCTACAAAAACAACGTTGAGTTCTGGGAGCGAGGCATAGTGGACAAGAGAATCGTGACCTGATTTACATAATTAAAGGGCCGAAGAATACTCAAAAAGGCACGAGAATCAACTTAAAAAAATGTTACGTTATAGAGCATGAAAAGAGTATACCGGATGAGGAGGAAGATCCCATTGATTTATGTATGATATTTTCATGTGTAGAACCTCCGCAGAAATTCGGTAGGAAACGAAAGTTCACGGACCCATTGGGCGTGAATCCAAAACGGAAAAATATTAAAATTAAGCGGATGGACATATGCATATGAAGTATGCAAATGGATCTACAAAGAAATAGCGAAAAATCATCAACCCATATAGGAAGCCAGTTTGAAATTAAAAGGGATTCCAAGACTTGGGAGGGGGTGTTGTGGTAGGATCCACCTAATTTGCATAGTGGAGTACCGACCATATAAATTTGGTTGGTACCGGGAAGAGAGGGAGGTATCAAGAGATTCAACCAGAGACTCTGCCCGACTGCGACTCAGTCAACAGATTCTCCAGGAACGGTCTTACCAGGAATATACAAAAGACTATATGTA